CAACACAGACACACACAGACACAAAATGTCTGTGCAACACAGACACTTTGTGTCTGTGTTGGCTTTGGTGTACACTTGGGGTACCCCATGTTAGTGTACCCCTAGCTTAATTCTTAATTTTACTCCTATCCTTTTTTTTGGTATACAAACGTTTCTTTTGTTGCTCATAAAAAAAAGCTTTTAAAATACCGGAGTATAGATTTTGTGCCTGAAAAATGTCACTTTTCTCAATTCGTCAAATCAATTCTAATGACAAAGACTTTGAACTCCAACGACATAATAGTGACTCTCTCATATGAGAGGTCACAAGTTCAATTCTAGTTAGGGTAATAAACTAATAACTCAACGTGTTTAATGAATCAAGAATGTATTAACAGATACTACCTCCGTCTCAAAAAGATTTACACATTTTGACTAAAGTTGAAATTAAGGTAGGGATAATTTTGTGTTGACTTTCCAAAAATATTCTTGATGTAATGGGTAAAAATATGATGTGATGTGTAGATTATTAGGAAAAAGGTATGATGTGATAGGTAGGATTTGAAAAGGTAAGGGGTAAAAGTGGTTTTTTAATAAAAATGGGTAGGAGATTGTGGGACGCAATTTTTTTGAAAGGTGTAAATCTTTTTGGGACGGAGGGAGTACTAGATTATAATAGCTTTATTAGTATTCAAAATAATTCTAATCTCTTACCTTAATCAATTATAACTACACTTTTTTATTTTTAGTATTTTTTCTTAAATTTTATAGAAAGAGTGCCAATACTCGAATATCTATGGAAATTGGAAAACAAGTTTTCTCGTTTTTGGAGTTTTTTTTTTTTACTTTTGTTTCCTTATCATTTATTCAATATATGTTTTAGCTAAAACATTTTGCAATAAAAAATTTGAAACATTTCACTTTGGCATAGATAAAAAGGAAAAAGTAAAAATTCTGTCATGATAGTCTACTGGGATTGAGTACTAGATTTGTATGTTGTTTGTTGTTATCGTCATTCAATAATGTTGTGCAGTATTCCTCATTTTTTTTGAAACATTCCAAAAATAATAATAATCCTTTTTTTTCACTTTGTGAAAAAACTATAGCAGCTCAAATTTTTCTTCTTGTATCACTTTCAACCTCATAATTTTATTTTTTCTTAAATTTCGTACCGAACCAAATGCAGACTATTAATTTGAGACAAATGGAGCAAGATTTTAAAGAAAAGATGAGAGATTAGTTCAGAGGATTATATAGGATGAAGGCGAAAATGCTTGACAGCAACTGCAATGGTGGGATAATGATAACTTTCCTAGTTCCCAAACAGGTACTGGATTTGTGATTGATTACTTGGAACTAAAGAATGTCATAAACTCACGGAAAGAAGTACATAACAGATATGAGAATGAATGAAAATGGGGGGAGATGGATAAGATTAAAACCAGTCAGTATAACACTATACAAAGAGTACAACCAATACAATCCACCTTACGGCAGCTTCTGGGGGAGGAGAATGTTTGTCGAATTGCTTCTGTTCGGGGGGTGGGTGGGTGGGTGGGCGGGCGGGCGGGTGGTGGATATATAGGGAAAAAGGGGAGGGTATCAATCTCTTGGGGTTCCTTAGACTTTGTCATCATGGAACCACCACCTCGTCTCCTTGGGTGACCTCTTGCTGTTGTTCTTCACGTAACGATCATTGTCTTCTGGGCGTTTCTGCAGATCAAGAAAAGAAAGAAAAAACAGAGTGCAGTTTTGAAGTGTCCATTTGGTCATCTTGATTAGAGCCATAAGTTCCCCATAACCATACCTTTTCAGTTGAGCTTGATAACATGGAGAGAATGCTAATACAGATGGAACTGACAGTCATTGCTGGGGACCAAGAGTCATAAAGAATATCTGCATCATTAACCATTCATCTAATTAATTAATTAATTAATTAAAACTCATAGAAACACACCGGATAAATAAATATCAACCTTTATTGAAAACCAACTCGTCAAAGAAGAACAGACTACGAGTCACAAGTCATAAGATAATAGATATGAAATCAGCTGGCCTACTTGACCAAGGCTCCTGCTCTTAATATTTCCATATTTAGCTTTCATTTTAGTTCAAGATTGAAACTTTTGATTCGGGTGTCCCTAGAAATCGAATGATTCACGGGGAAATCTGTTCTCTCTGTTATTTTTGATGTTTGTGGACATTGGTTTGCTGTCTCTTAAGGAAGTAATGATCGACTAGTAGAAATGAAAGCAGCGAGTAGAAATTAATGGTGAACCTGGTAAGACCATTTTTACCACAATCTAATAGCTCCTCATTAAGGGCAATTCAATAGCACATAATCCCATATAAGTCTCAAAAGTCACACATCCATTTGGATGTCACCAAAATGTGTGCACACTGACGCACTATCATCCCTCTCACTGAAAGCACATTTTGTGTCCAGTAGAGATACCATAAAAGGAAGATGATTAATCGGGCTGCCAAATATGCTTTCCGCAACACCATTACTTCATTACACAAGAATGCCATACATCATCAACTCAAGCTAATAAATATCCGAACAGTTCAGCTAATAGAAGTTATAGAACAACATAATATAAGGTGCATTTAGTTTATTTTTTTCACTGATTCAGATGATCAAAATCAACTAGGAAAAGTAGTTGTGTGTGTTTAAGAGTCTGGCTAGGTTCATTCTGCTCACATGAATAAGATTTTCAGAAGCAATATCCTTGATGCTCTTAATTCAAGCAGTCGATTCTGAATGGGTCTAACTTCTAAGAATCAAAATCGGCCAAAAGCATAAGCCAAATCACATGCCCCTATGTCAGAGAGGCATGCCAAGGAGACTCATGACAATACCACGCAATGCCATCTTTTCAAGTCTGTTCTGTTGTCTTTTCTCTCACCGTAGTCCCCTTTATGTGTTTCTACACTGTCTATTATAGGCTTTCAGCCAATAAGCGTGCCAATGGTGCCATACTGCCATCCTCTCTATTTTAACAACTGATTAAGGTTGTCTTTATAATATACTCCCTCAGTCCCAAAAAAAGTGTCCTTATTCTTTAAGCGATAATGTTTTATGGGTAGATAGAGTATTTTGTCATTTTTACTTTGTTGTTATGTTTGTCTTGCTCTCTGCAACTTTGTACTCTCGTGGTACAGTTTGTATCTCCTCCAAACAGGAGAATGTTAGTAATGTTCCGTGTTCTATAAACATGGAAGCTCATCTGTTGGCTTCCACTTGTTTTCTATGTTGAACACACCAATATTTGTAATATTTCTTGAAATGATTTATTGAAGTTAATCCTTTGAATGTAAAAACCTACATCAATTCTACTTTACATGCCTTATTGTGCAATCCATTATTTAAGTATATGACCACCCAAAAGTGGGATGGCATACGTGGGGATATCCAAAAAAATGTTACTGTCATCATCAAACAAAATACACCTTGATTGAATCACATCATCAGGCAGAACATCAATCTTGTCAGGACAATGATAAGGATCTACACCCGTTTCTTGACAACTTTCACTGGTCACTTTATGTATTTTTGTTCTAAAAGCAATCATATAAGCTTGATGTGTGTATAATCATATTAAAGTATTAAACGGTTAGATTCCAAGAAATCGAGAAGAGACAAAGAAAGAGGCACATGAGAAGAAAGAAAGAAAGATGAGACAAAAAAGTGGATCTTATGTATGAGAAGTAAAACAGAAAGAGAAGGGGAATAAATCTTATTACTGATAAGACAAAAAAAGGCATTTTATGACAATAACAATATGCTAGAGGAAAGGGTACAAATGGCAACAGAAAAACATCTATTCTTTGCAGCCTTGGAAAGAAACTAAAAAGTGGTATGGTCTACAAGTATTTTTCTTTCCTCTCAAATTCTCTCCCGAGCAAACAACCAATAGTCTTTCTTTCACTATCTTTTTCTCACAAAACAAAATATGTATGTGGTACAAAGATATTATACATGACATATGTAATGTTTGACACTATATTACTTACTACTTTTGTCCAAGAGTATTTTTCTGGTTTTGGCTTTTTATTTACAGTCAAAATTGATAAACTCTGACCAAAAACTAAATACAGTTTATATTATATGCTGATACAAGAATAATTTTCTTAGATTTATCTTGTACAATATTTTCAAAATATTATTTAATATAATTAATTATTATTATTTAACAAATACTTTGGAGCGGTGGGAGTAGTAAAGTTTGTCTGATTGCCTTAAAACCTAACCACCCTACAATGACTCGTAGACATGTTGGGATGGAGCAGGAAAAAATTTAGTAATGGTGACAGATGGCATTGAAGGAAGAAGGTATGAAGTGTGCATAAGCAAATCCACTTTCCTATTGCGAAGACATATACATACAAGAACAATTAGTGTAAAAAAATTAAAAATTAAAGGAAGTATTAAAAGACACGCCATAAAGGCAGTACACAATGTATGTTCAAGATAATGTTCATGTCAATAAAAGGAAAAGATGGAGCACATGATAGTGAAACTAACCTAAACAGATATGTCCATTGCTATAAATGTGAGGATGAAGCGGAGCCGGATGGAGAAAAATAACCTGCACATGTTTATAGAAACACAATAATACGGAGCAGTAGGTTAGTATACCAACAGAAAAACCTTTGGACACATAAACAAAAGCAGTAGCTATGTAGCGTGTTAGTGGACCGCCGATTATTTTAGCTGGATCAAATTTTTAAGGACCCTCCAGATTGTAAAATGTTTGATAAACAATCTAGTAGCTGCTACATAAGTCATATGGAAAGTTGAAAGAAGTTTTTCAGACCACTGTTTAGGTCTTAACTACAGAGAGCAATCAGAAGAAGAACAAACAAATGAAATTATAGTAGACTCCAAAACCTATGATGCCCTAATTAGGATGGGCAATACCTGAGGAGCCTCCATAGGGTAATTTTCTGGGAAATCAACCTGAAGCTTATATGTCTCGTTAGCATACAAAGTCCCTGGTGCTCCGGCGACTTCAATTTCCCATCTATATATACGGGGAAACCCCAAATTGATTAAATTCAGAAAAAGAAGATCAGGAAATCCACAACGAAGAACGAATCTTAAATCCGGTCTTCACCTTTGGAGATTATCAGTGACTTTGTGTTTAAATCCGGTGAGGGGATTCGACTGCCATTCCCTCAGCTCCTTCTGCAGCCGACTGGTTGCGATCTTGCTCAAAGCCTGAATCACATTTCACGATCGATTGTCGTCATCAATACAAGCACAAACATCAACAAAAGAACCTAAAAAGAAAAACATTTATATGTGCGCCGATGTGATTGTGACCCGGACACGAACCTTGCGAGACGAAGTTCCAGTGGTAGTCATGGCGTCTGGAGTCTAGAGAGAGAGAGAGAGAGAGCCGATGGAAATTGGAAAGAAATGTTTATATTGGCACTCGCTTTCTTCTTCTTCTTTTTCGTTCTTTTTTTCTTCTTCGTCTTCTTGGGAATTTGGATTGTGGGAAATCCGAAACTTGCGATGCAAAACAAAGGGGCATTCAGACGCTGGGAGATCAGGTCAATTCTTATAGAGATCGACGGTCAGGAATTACTTTTGGTGCGCTAACGTGGGGGCTTAACTGCCACGTCGCCACCATTTTGGGCCATTCACTTCCCACATTGAAATTACTTGCTCTCTCGTAAATGAATCGAATAATTTTGATTCTGATTCGTATTCGTTTGTATTGAATAATTACTGATTAATGTTTATTACTTGATTTTTTTAAAACTTTTTTTATCTATTTGCTTCTTTTTTCCAATCAAGGTATAACGCCTTCGAGATAATATCTTCGGCAGTGAACTCACGGGGCCACGTCTTGAGCGCGTTGGCATACAAGCCACAGAACTTCTGGACTTCTGGGTGCACCCGCTTCTAGTATTTTTGAAACATCTTCTGTCACATATGAACGTACCATCGGGCCTCTCGACCTTGTATTTCGCCGTAACACGCTCCTAGAACATTTTAGATTTCTGATAGTTGCCGATGATTGCATCATCTGATACGCTGGCGTAGGACTTCGCCAATGTTAGACTTTCCGCCAGAGTATATTTCTTTGGCATGTCATTCTTTTTGGCCTTTCCTTTGCTAATGACCTCGCCGGTGGGCTCCAAATGAGAAACGTCTTAGTCCGTCATATAAATAACCGACAATTGGTAAGGGCTATCCGTATTAAAATTAATCACTTACGGACCGGGTATTGTCGTATTGGTATCCGTATAGGATATTTTCCACCTTTTGAAAAAATATATATAAACTAGAAATTTTACACTCAATCCCTTTTTAAATACTCCTTTTCCTCTAGAAATTTTACACTCAATCCCTTTTTAAATACGGAGTAAATTTTAAGTCACCGGTCATATGGTCAAATCGATCACATTACTTTTACTTTTAATTGTTTGTGAAATTCAGTAATAAATTACGGAGTATTTAATGATTCCTAAAATAATTTATTAAATTCTATAAAAAATAATATTTTCATCAATTAATTTATTAACCTCTTAAGGTTCTTTTTTAAACATTTAATATTAATTATTAAATTTATATTAATACTTAGATTAAATAAAAAAATCTTTTATGGATAGGCTCGTAGTCTTATTTAATACTTCATCCGTCTGGAAATGTTCTTCTCATTTTTCTTTTTGGTCCGTTCGGAAATATTCATCTAATTTCTTTTTGTAATCTACTTTTTAGGGATAAATTTCAATAATAATATCATTCTATTTTATCATTAATCTATTTTTTTATTACTCTTTAGTAAGAAAAAAAGCTCTAAAATTTATAGCACGTGCATTTTTAGAAAATTGTCACTTTTGTACTACTCCTTAATAAGCGTGTCAAGTCAACACGTAAAAAATATTTTCGCGCAGAAGGAGTAGATTTATTTCTGTAGAAATGTTTTACTAAAAATTCATAATAGTCAATTATTTATCAATGGAAAATATGCAAATCAGAGATTCGAAAAGTACATAACAATTCTTTTATGGATTACCCAATATCTTAAGGTGAAATCATAAAAGATTCTCAACATTAAATAAAAACAATTAGTCTACATTCTTAATTTCTTTTATTTGCCTACTCCAATGTTGCAAGCAACCCTCTATCAACTTTTCATCAATAAAAAAAGTTTTTCCAAATATATAAACATATTAAAAGGTCATGTTCTTTTGAGTTAGAATTTCAGAGTTTGATGTTAGAAATAACTTAAATAAATTAGAAGAAATTAAAAAAAACTAGAATGAGTTGGGATGTTGGGAGATTAAAGTGTTAAAAAGTCACTCGATTAAACGATTACTCAAATAAATATATAAGAAAACTAATTTATTGGGATATAAAAAAGAATGCAACCTTGTGTGTGTTTGAGATAGTATTTTATGAATTTGGATATATAATATTATTGTATATTCATCATATATAAATAATGTTTTTAAGTCATTGTTGGGAGTAACTGGAATGCATTGGAAAGAATAGGAAAAAACCGGAAAAAAGTTGAAAAAAGTTAAAAGGTAATTTTTCCAACCCAAAAAAACATGTCTAAATACTCCATACATAGTACTCAACTAATGAAAAAAAATAAAATTATTTTTTCTGAACTTTCTCACAATTTTTATGGACTGGCAAATAGATCTTTTTCTTTTTTACAAAAGACATAATTCTTTTATGATATCAATTATCAATGCACTAAAGTATATAAAATGAATATGAACCTTGAGACCACGTAATAATTTTCAAAAAAAATATGAATTTGGTCGTACATAAGTTTACATACTCCGTATAAAAATAAATTTTAAAACATTAAAGTACTAATAAATTTAAAGTATACGAGTAGAAAAAGTGATAAAAGTGGAGATAAAAATTACGGAGTATATCAAGAAAAAATGTAGTTTGTGACTGCGTAAGACAAATGGACTAATGGAGTATAAATGTACTCCGTATTATCAAAATTCGCTTTGAATAAGAAAAATAAAAAAAATTGTTTATTCAATCATGTTAAAAGGTGCATTGATTCTTAAGGCACGCCTCAGTATTTGACAAGCAATAAACTGCAGAGAAATTTCATATTTTGTGTCAAATCTATTGGAATAAAATGATGCATGCAAATCTATCCCACCTGCCCATCATTAATTAAAACATAATTTTAAATTTCTTCAAATAATTGTTTCTATATTTCAAAACCAATATTGTTTCTCATAAGTTTTAAAACTCATATCAAATCATTATTTCAAAACTCACCAAACGAGACCTAAATTAAAATGAAAATGATGCAAGACATTTAACCAATTCTTTAATTACTCCACGTTTAAAAACACACGCTTTTCTTTTAGATTTGTCCTAACTCCTAAAACAATAGTCTTTGGTTGTAATAATCAAAATAATCAATTACGGAGTAATATATAAACAACAACAACAACCCAGTTAAATCCCACAAGAGTAGGGTCTGGGGAGGGTGTGTGTACGCAGACCTTACCCCTACTCGAAAGTAGAGAGGCTGTTTCCAAAGAGACCCCCGGCTCAACGTCGAAAGTTGCATTGCTTGACTAACTGCTACTTCATTAATTAAAGAAGCGCAAACAGTTTAGAAATCCATTTTGATTTATTCCATCACACCCCAAAGCCAAAAAATGGTGAAATTTTGGCTCCATCGGAGATGATAAAATATGCAACATACTAACAAGAAAGTATGTTCCAAACAACATACTTTCCCTCTTTATTTTCTCATTCCCTCTCATGATTCAAACAAAGCATAAATGCAGCAATACATTAGAAGTAAAAACAGAATCCAAATCATCCCAACAAAAACAGAACCACTCATTATTATCTGAGAAACCAAAAGCAACAAGACAGTGAGATTATTTTTTGGTGTCCAATGGGGAGGAAGAGCTTATGTTGTTTTTATGCAGTAAGAGTAGAAGCTTCTCCGGCGTGTATGAGTATATCAGCATGGAGTTCATCTTTTTTAGCACCTACAACCGTGTGCACAACCTTTCCTCCTTTCAGAAACACAAATGTTGGCATGGCCTTCACCTCGTAGACCTGAGTAACATCCTGTGGACAATGGATACACATTAGCTTCTCTGTTCTCAGAGAATAAATAGCAGGATTTGTAAAAATTGCAGAGAAAGACATTCAAATGCAATTTCACTGAAGCAAAAACAGATGAAATAGAGTTCATTTTACCGGGAGCTCGTCCACGTCCACCTTGATGAATATCACATGTGGCATCTTCTTTGCATAATCCGCCAGTATGGGTGCCATGAACCGGCACGGCCCACACCAAGATGCAGTAAAATCTACCACCACCTGTACAAAGAACCAGTTACTAATCCAACCCAAAGAGCAAATCAAATGGGCCATATTTTTACCAATAGTAAGAACAGAAAACTGAGGCACAGACTATGTTTGAGACACCCCAAATTTTTTAACTCATTCTTAGAGAGCTGGCTGGGTACCAAATTCGTAATTAAATGCATTGAGATACCAAAACTTTACCACTCTGTTTGGTGATTAAATAGGAGAGAAATATATGAGAGGACTAAGAAACTTCTCTTGTTTGATGACATAAAGAAATGGAGAGGAAAAAACTTGATCATAAAAATGATGGATCTCACAACTACCCAAGTTTCTTCTTTCTGACTCTGAGAACATAGGGAGTATGTGTTTCATCTCAATTTCTACATATGTCTTCTTCATTTATCTCATTGTAATGCTAGTTAGACAAATAAGTTGAAACCACAGTAACACACTGATAATCATTTTTATTTGTGAAACACTGCTTGTGTCAACATTGGTGCGTGACTGTAGCTTGAACTTTGATTCCATTCCAAGGTACAAACAATGCTCAAAAGGATCATGCTAGGAACGCACCATGAGTACCTCCACGGATAATTATGTGTGTTTACAGTCGTCTATGTATGTGTAAATCATATGTGATTGTCATCCGTAAGGGCGCCCGTGGTGGGTTCCTCGCATTTTGTATCCAAAATTTCTCACAACCATTGGGGCATACGAGTACAATAAAAAGTCCACAATTACTTGCCCAATTAACCCTAACTCCGCATACTTGGACAGGAAAGAAAAGGTGGCGAATTTGTCCAAAAGTTTTCAACTTTCTACCAATCGTGACTGAGAACAAGTCAACAATTGAGGGTAGATCGTAGACTAAATCTTCTGTTCACCAAAAGTCACAATCACCGAGCACAATATGCAAAAAGATATAAGCAATAGAATATGGTTCTGGAAACAAGTCGAGTATTTCTCAGGGAAAAAAGAAGAAGAAGAAACCCTAATTCAAGGAAGACGATATACCAGCTTGTTGCAATCTTTGTATTTGTCGAAGATATCGGTCCACTGCTGCAGGGCGTGGATGCCGATAACTTGTCCTTCCTCTGCAATTGGTGCCGACGCCGCCGCCATCTTCTCCCGCAGAACCCTAATTCTGAAGTTGCGCTTGCCGTCTGATGACTCTGATCTTGAACGACCGATTACTTATCTCCTGCTCCCAACTCTTGTGCCGAATGTTCCGGTTTAGTATTCGCGCATTTCCTTAAATATTTTTCCATTTATTATTAGATCAAATAATTTTCTTTTATCAATCTTAATTTTTATTGTTAATTTTATAAAATAAAATAATTTTTTAATCACTCATTTTATATAAATTTTGAGTTAGTTTTTGAATGTGTACTCCTAGGAAATTTTAGTTTTGAATCATACATCAATATTTATGAAGTATAAATAAAATAAAAAATAGTTTAATCAAATATCATAATTTGAAATACAAATATTACTTGGGGATGGAATACTACCTAATCTCACAAGATTTCTCAATTTTCTTTTTTAATTAAAATAATCTTTTTATTTTGTCTCTTTCTAACTCTCCAAACAAAAATCCAATAAAATTCTATAAAAGTAAAATCTGAATAGGATGTGGACAGATAAACCTCATCTCCATTAAAAATGGAGAAAATGTTTTCAAAAGACTCACAACTCTTATGCCGAATGTTCCGGTTAAGTATTCGCGCATTTCCTTAAATATTTTTCCATTTATTATTAGATCAAATNTCTTTATCTGCTAACCATCTTGCACCGCCGCACACTCTTTGCGGGACACGCCGCCCGACCTCCTGTCGGGAAGACTTTCGACGCAAGGCTCGAACCGCAGATTTTTCCTTCGCTGGGCTACACCATTTGATCCGCCAAATCATCTTGTACCGCCGTGGCTATAAATTCACGGGACGCGCCGCCCGACCTCCTCTCGTCGGGAAGACTTTCGACACAAGGCACCACCTGCAGATCCTCTTTCTTGGTCTTGGTCCTAGTTACACCGTCACACCGAGATTTTTCCACACTGCACAGTCCGCTACTCCCGCCTGCAAGAACCTGGGCTCCGATACCACATGTTGGGACTGCGCGTACCCTCACCCCAACCCCGCATTAGTATGATATTGTTCGCTCTGGGCCAAGCCCTCACGGATTTGTTTTTGGGCACTTCCCAAAAGGCCTCATACTAATGAGGTTGGGTGAACCTATATATTTTGGTCCATTTTTTCTTCTCCCTCCGGTGTGGGACTTGGAGGAATCCCCAACATGAAAAAATATATATAAACTAGAAATTTTAAACTCAATCCCTTTTTAAATATATATTTTCCGCCTTTTCCTCTAGAAATTTTACACTCAATCCCTTTTTAAATACGGAGTAAATTTCAAGTCACCGGTCATAATGGTCATATACTCATATGGTCAAATCGATCACATTACCTGTTTACTTTTAATTGTTTGTGAAATTCAGTAATAAATTACGGAGTATTGATTCCTTATATAATTTATTAAATTCTATAAAAAATAATATTTTCATCAATTAATTTATTAACTTCTTAAGGTTCTTTTTTAAACATTTAATATTAATTACGCCCTCCGTCCCTGAGTATTTGTCCACTTTTGACTTTTTTCAGTCAAAATTGGTAAACTTTGACCTCAAATTAAATAAAAATGATATTATATATTGATACAAAAATAGTTTTATTAGATTTATTATATCAAATATTTTTAAAAAATTATTTTATCTATTTAATATAAAATATATATTTCATTTAACTATAGTTCAAAGGTTAAAAACGGTTGATCGAAAAAAGTCAAAACTGGACATATATACTCAGGGACGGAGGTAGTATTAAATTTATATTAATACTTAGATTAAATAAAAAAATCTTTTATGGATAGGCTCGTGATCTTATTTGAATACTTCATCTGTCCGAAAATGTTCTTCCCATTTTTCTTTTTGGTCCATTCGTAAATATTCATCTCATTTCCGTATTTAATCTACTTTTTAAAGATAATTTCAATAATGCTATCATTCTATTTTTTACCATTAATCTACTTTTCTATTACTTTTTAATAAGAAAAAAACTCTAAAAATTTATAGTACGTGCATTTTTGAAAAATCATCACCTTTTTACTATTCATTAATAAGCATGTCGAGTCAACACGGGAAAAATATGAGGGAATAGATTTATTTCTGTAGAAATGTTTTACTAAAAATTCATAATAGTCAATTATTTATCAATGGAAAATATGCAAATCAGAGATTCGAAAAGTACATAACAATTTTTTTTGGATTACCCAATATCTTAAGGTGAAATCATAAAAGATTCTCAACATTAAATAAAAACAATTAGTCTACATTCTTAATTTCTTTTATTTGCCTTCTCCAATGCTGCAAGCAACCGTCTATCAACTTTTCATCGATAAAAAAAGTTATTCTAGATATATAAACATATTAAGGCCATATTCTTTAGGTCAGAATTTTCAAAGTTTGATGTTAGAAGTAATTAAAATAAGTTAGAAGAAACTAGAAGTTGAAAAAAAACTAGAATGAGTTGGAAAATGTTGGGAGATTAAAGTGTTAAAACTCACTCAATTAAATAATCAATCAAATAAATATATAAGAAAACTAATTTAGTAGGATATAAAAAAGAATGCAACCTTGTATGTGTGTTTAAGGTGGCATATTATAAATTTGGATATATAATGCTATTGTATATTCATCATATATAAATAATGTTTTCAAGTCATTGTTGGGAGTAACTGAAATGCATTGGAAAGAATTGGAAAGAATTGAAAGAAACATGAAGAAATTGAAAAAGCTAGAAGTTAATTAACCCAAAAGAACATGGTCTAAATACTCCATAGTACTCAACTAATTAAAAAAATAAAATTATTCTTTCGTAGTCCTAGGATCTACATATAAAATTTGAACTTCCTCACATTTTTTATGGACTGACGAATAAATCTTTTTCTTTTTTTACAAAAGACCTAATTCGTTTAAGATATCAATGCACTAAAGTATATAAAATGAATATGAACCTTGAGACCACATAATAATTTTCCAAAAAATATGAAAGTTTACGTACTCCGTATAAAAATAAATTTTAAAACAATATTAAAGTTCTAAAAAAATTTAAAATATACGAGTAGACAAAGTAATAAAAGTGGAGACAAATTACGGAGTATATCAAGAAAAAATGTAGTTTGTGGCTGCATAAGACAAATGGACTAATGGAGTATAAATGTATTACTCCCTCCTCCGTCCCAAATTATAATGTCTGTTTACTATTCACAGGATCAAACTTCATTCACTTTCTTTCTCTATTTTCATTAGCAATTTGATAAAATAAAATATTATTGTCACTACTAGTTTTGTAAATCTTTTGATGTAATTTTTTAATACGGAGTATGTAATTTTTATTTTTTAATTCTATACCATTTGTCATATAAAATGGTTTGAAAATAATTTCAGTCAAACATCGTAAACCGAAACATGCGTTATAAAATGGGACGGAAGTAGTATCAAATTCCGCTTTGAATAAGAAAAATGAAAAAAAATTGTTTATTGATATGTTAAAAGGTGCATTGATTCTTAAGGCACGCCTCAGTATTTGACAAGCAATAAACTGCAGAGAAATTTCATATTTTGTGCCAAATCTTTTGGAATAAAATGATGCATGCAATCACATGCCCATCATTAATTAAAACATAATTTTAAATTTCTTCAAATATTTTTTTCTATATTTCAAAACCAATATCGTTTCCAAGTTTTAAAACTCGTATCATATCATTACTTCAAAACTCACCAAACGAGACCTAAATTAAAATGAAAATGATGCATGACATTTAACCAATTCTATAACTACTCCATGTTTAAAAAACACACAGTTTTCTTTTAGATTTGTCCTAAAACAACAGTCTTTGGTGGTAATAATCAAAATAGTCAATTACGGAATAATATTAACAAGAATGATAAAATCTGCAACATATTAACAAGAAAGTATGTTCCAAACGACATACTTTCCCTCTTTATTTTCTCATTCCCTCTCATGATTCAAACAAAGCATGAATGCAGCAATACATTAGAAGTAAAAACAGAATCCAAATCATCCCAACAAAAACAGAACCACTCATTATTACCTGAGAAACCAAGCAACAAGACAGTGAGATTATTTTTTGGTGTCCAATGGGGAGGAAGAGCTTATGGTGTTTTTATGCAGTAAGAGTAGAAGCTTCTCCGGCGTGTATGAGTATATCAGCATGGAGTTCATCTTTTTTAGCACCTACAACCGTGTGCACAACCTTTCCTCCTTTCAGAAACACAAATGTTGGCATGGCCTTCACCTCATAGACCTGAGTAACATCCTGTGGACAATGGATAAACATTATCATCTCTGTCCTCAGAGAATAAATAGCAGGATTTGGAAAAATTGCAGAGAAAGACATTCAAATGCAATTTCATTGAAGCAAAAACAGATAAAATAAAGTTCATTTTACCGGGAGCTCGTCCACGTCCACCTTGATGAATATCACATGTGGCATCTTCTTTGCATAATCCGCCAGTATGGGTGCCATGAACCGGCACGGCCCACACCAAGATGCAGTAAAATCTACCACCACCTGTACAAAGAACCAGTTACAGATCCAACCCGAAGAGCAAATCAAATGGGCCATGTTTTTGCCAATAGTAAGAACAGAAAACTGAGGCACAAACTATGTTCGAGACACCCCAAATTTTTTAACTCATTCTTAGAGAGTTGGCCGGGTACCAAATTCGTAATTCAATGCATTGAGATACCAAAACTTTACCACTCTGTTTGGTGATTAAATAGGAGAGAAATATATGAGAGGACTAAGAAACTTCTCTTGTTTGATGACATAAAGAAATGGAGAAGAAAAAACTTAATCATAAAATGATGGATCTCAGCACTAGCCAAGTTTCTTCTTTCTTACTCTGAGAACATAGGGAGTATGTGTTTCGTCTCAATTTCTACACATGTCTTCTTCATTTATCTCATTGTAATGCTAGTTAGAAAAAAAAAAGTTGACACCACAGTAACGCACTGATAATCATTTTTATTTGTGAAACACTGCTTGTGTCAACATTGGTGCGTGACTGTAGCTTGAACTTTGATTCCATTCCAAGGTCCAAACAATGCTCAAAAAGATCATGCTAGGAACGCACCATGAGTAAGTCCTCCACGGATAATTATGTGTGTATACAATCGTCTATGAATGTGTAAATCATATGTGATTGTCATCCGTAGGGGCGCCCGTGGTGGGTTCCTCACGTTTTGTATCCAAAATTTCTCACAACCATTGGGGCATACGAGTACAATAAAAAGTCCATAATTACTTGCCCAATTAACCCTAACTCCGTATACTTGGACAGGAAAGAAAAGGTGGCGAATTTGTCCAAAAGTTTTCAACTTTCTACCAATCGTGACTGAGAACAAGTCAACAATTGAGGGTAGATCGTAGACTAAATCTTCTGTTCACCAAAAGTCACAATCACCGAGCACAATATGCAAAAAGATCTAAGCAATAGAATATGGTTCGGAAACAAGTCGAGTATTTCTCAGGGAAAAAAGAAGAAAAAGAAGAAGAAGCCCTAATCCAGGGAAGACGATATACCAGCTTGTTGCAATCTTTGTATTTTTCGAAGATATCGGTCCACTGCTGCAGGGTGTGGATGCCGATAACTTGTCCTTCCTCTGCAATTGGTGCCGACGCCGCCGCCATCTTCTCTCCCGCAGAACCCTAATTCTGAAGTTGCGCTTGCCGTCTGATTGCTCCCAACTCTTGTGCCGAATGTTCCGGTTAAGTATTCGCGCATTTCCTTAAATATTTTTCCATTTATTATTAGATCAAATAATTTTCTTTTATCAATCTTAATTTTTATTGTTAATTTAATAAAATAAAATAATTTTTTAATCACTCATTTTATAGAAATTTTGATTCAGTTCTTGAATGTGTACTCCTAAGAAATTTTAGTTTTTAATCATACATCAATATTTATGAGGTATACATAAAATAAAAAATAGTTTAAACAAATACGGAGTATCATAGTTTGAAATACAAATATTACTTGGGGATGGAATACTACCTAATCTCACAAGATTTCTCAATTTTATTTTTTAATTAAAATAATCTTTTTATTTTATCTATTTTTAACTCTGCAAACGAAAGACGAATAAAACGCAGAGTAATTTTTTTTGAATACCACTCTTTTTGTCCCATAATTTTTTTCCACTTTATTTTTTTCGCAGTCGTTAATGTACTATTTTCGTCATTAGAGCATGTATAGTAGCAAGGAAAAGAAATGCATTGCACCATCACGTTAGCTTCTTCCCATCATATCATGGCACTCCAGCCTTTTTTCCTTCTTTTTTATAATTTTTTGTTAAGTTTTTTTTTTAAAAAAAATTTTTAAGAAAAAAATGTTTTAGAAAGTAGAATAATTTTTTGATAAAATAAATAGTAAAAATATTTTTTTATGTTGAAAAAATAATGAAAATGATAAAAATAAAATCATACCAGATTAATGAAATAAATAAGGTAATCAATGGAAATTAAACTGGAACTGGTAAGAAATAAAATAAATATATATAGAGTGATGGGTTTTAACATTTTACACAATATACAAAATCTTAATGTAATACTTATGTTTTGAGCCGATAAAGTTGGAATTATTTGAGATATTTTTTTTTAAAAAAAAGAAGTGGTACATTAATACTTTGTAAAGTGCATAAAATATTAAAACCCACCACCCCGTATGTTTTTATTTTATTTTTTACCATGTTCAAGTTAGCTTCTATTGATTACCGTATTTATTTTATTAATTTTGTATCGTTTTAGTTATTTTTCTCGTTTTCATTATTTTTTATATCTATTACTTTAATTTTTTGAAAGTAAGCAGTAAAAATTGAGATCATTTTTTAAAGATCGAGTAAAGTTGAGATTTTTCATGATAATTTTTCTATAATATTAACATAAATTACCTTAAATAGGACTAAAACGTAGACAAAGTACCAAAATAGAAGTTTTATGCTTGTATTCCCTAAATAGGGGTTTGCATTGTGGTAATGTTGTATTGTACATTTGCATTTTATGTAATGTATATGGTAAAATATATTTTAATTTCTATTTCGAGAATAAAGACATGAAACTCTTATTTTAGTATATTTTCAATGTTTTACTTTTATTTTAGACTTTTCTAATAATAGTAATAATAAGAGAAATTTACCTAAATATGACTAAAATATAATGTCTTTTTCAATAAAGAATCATATTCCAGGGTATGTTTTTATTTCTCAATATAGAATCATTGGTCATTATCCATTAGTCATTATTCAAGTAAATATTTACCATTACCGGACATTATTCCTCCATTAGACATTATTAAGTACTCCGTATTATTTATAGAATAAAAAAATTTAAGTCCTACGTTGAAAAATGATACTCCCTCCGTCCAAAATTAAACTTTACATTACGCATTATGATGTTTGACTGAATTTATTTTCAAATCATTTTATATGAAAAATAGTGTAGAATTGAAAAATAAAAAATGCATATTAAAAAACTATATCAAAAGATCTACAAAACTAGAGGTGACATGACTATATTATTTTATCAAATGGGTGACGAAAATAGGCCAACAAAGTGAATAAAGTTTGAACTTGTGAATAGTGAATGTAAAGTTTATTTATGGACGGAGGGAGTATATATTTTAGTTTTATTTAATATGAATTTCACTAATAATAAGAGGATCAACTATTTTGAGAGGAAGGGAATGAATTACTGTAATTTCTTTGGCTATGACGGCGACTCGGCGAGTGGTTGAAAACAGATTTGTACAAAACGTCCAACGTCGTCGTGCCACATAAGCTTAGGATAAGCGACGCCGACGGGTAAACCTCTGCCGCACCGCACGAAACACCTGGACTCTGAACTTATCAGATTCATCGACGACCGATTTCCGATCGCCACTCCATTTTCTCTCTTTATTTGCATTCTCCGATGGCTCTGACTCAGCTCTTGTACCTTCCATCTTCTTCATCGATAATCTCCCACAAACCCCAGTCAAATCCCGTCGCTAAATCCCTCCTAGCGTCGCCGTCTCGCCTCCGTGGCCGTCGCCTGCGGCGGCTACACCCCGATTCTTTTCGCTGCCCTGCTTCTTCTTCCTTCTCAGAGACTAACCACACCTACTCCCCGAAATCGAATGACCCAATCGAGCTCCCGCTCTTCCCTCTACCTCTGGTGCTCTTCCCCGGCGCCATTCTCCCACTCCAGATCTTCGAGTTCCGGTACCGGATCATGATGCACACCCTCCTGCAGACCGATCTGAGATTCGGAGTCATCTACTCCGACAGCACCACCGGCGCCGCCGATGTCGGCTGCGTCGGGGAGGTCTTGAAGCACGAGCGCCTCGTGGACGACCGGTTCTTCCTCATCTGCAAAGGGCAGGAGCGGTTCCGGATCAGGAATCTCGTCCGGACGAAACCCTACCTGGTGGCGGAGGTGACGTGGCTGGAGGACCGGCCTTCGGGGAACGGGGAAGAGGATCTCGCCTCGCTGGCGTCCCAGGTGGAGGCGTACATGAAAGACGTGATCCGGTTGTCGAACAGATTGAACGGGAAGCAGGAGACGGAGGCCCAAGATCTGCGGCGCAACCTCTTTCCCACTCCCTTCTCCTTCTTCGTGGGGAGCACGTTTGAAGGGTCGCCCCGAGAGCAGCAGGCGTTGCTGGAGCTGGAAGACACGGCGACGAGGCTGAAGCGGGAGAAGGAGACTTTGCAGAACACTTTGAATTACTTGTCTGCAGCCTCTGCTGTGAATGATGTGTTTCCATCCTCCTCCACAAGAGAATGAAATGAGCAAGTAAGTAAGCCTCTGCATGCCCCCAATAGTTTGTGTGATCTCTATGCAATTGAATGATACTTCTTGCTGTAAATTTTGATGGCTAGTAGTAGATATGTTTATAAGTTTGAAGTTAAGAACCAATTCCAACTTACTGCTATGTGATTATGTATGATTCCACTAAATCCAAGTACCAATCATAAAGGATTTTAGATCATTTTCATGTGGTGGGATTGTAAGATTGCATGATCTTAGCTACCATATGGGATTATTGTGATTCTTATAGATCATTGTGTTTCATCGATCGGTTGAAAGTTAAGCCCTCATCATAATCATTCATAATAGGGAGGTTGATCAACAACTTTTTTCAAATCTTGTTGAAATTTGTCTTCTCTATGTAGTAGCTTAGTGATTTCTCTATATGGGTTCTAACTTGTGAGTTAATGGGTAATTATGTTTATGAGAAATCCCATCAACACTCTCCTCCTCTTGGGAACATGACTGGTCCTGATCAAGTTGTGATTTAGCTACGTGAGTAGTAGGAATGTAGCCAGGATCCTTGATGAGTTTACGAAAGTTCCGATGTTTCGGTTAACAGCTTTTCTTCATGTTCTTCAATAAGCTCGAGAAGGGGCAAATGATGTATTGCAACAATTTTTTTTTTTGCTTTTTGTTTATCGTTCTAGTGATGCGGTCGTTCTAGGGATGCAGTTGTTCATGTTCTCGCATGTATTGACAATTAGAATAAGAAATTTGGTAGTAATTCTCTTTTGAATAAGAAATTTGAACACTATTTGACCGATTGTTAATTTTCACATGAAAGATTTGGCATCTTATGAGGCATTGAAGTTGCGAGGAATTCCATAGCCCATAGGTTCTTTTTTTTCTATGTCAAAGAAATCTAGATACTCCGTATACAATTGAACTAGACAAGAAATTCAATAAAAATCAAAACTGGAGCAAATCAAACTCAACAAAGAAGCTGTGTTGAGCGTGTTTTGTACAATTGCTTTCACGCCTATTTATAGTTCAAATGCCTAGCAGTACAAGGAATGATAAGTTCGGTTAGCCCTAATCTCTCTCCGCCATCGACGGTGGTCTTGTCAGTTCTGCTTAATCAGCCTTCGACATGGTCAAACTTGAGAAAGGTGGAAGACTCCCTTCTTATGCGCAATCGAGCCCCACCGGAAGCCCATCAACACTTCCTCGTGGACTGGGGACTTGGGAGCTATCCATTCTCTTCGCCCGGGTTCTTTTGGCCTCTCGTGGATATTGAGCCGGGCCTGGACCACGCGGGCCCAATAGCCAATCACATTTATCAGTTCTCACTCTTTGGGGCGATGTCGTCTGCTCATCGTCCGGGGGCGTTTCCGTGGAGGTGCGCGAGCAATGCTGCCATTGTGGAGTATTAAACACTAAAATGACATCGAAACGGAAGAATATAGGTTGAAACTCAAAGGGTCACATTTGTCAAAATTGGGAAATAACTCAAACTCTCAAAGTAGGGAATTGATGGAGATTGATGTTTCTTACTCTCATAATGCTCATGATAAGCTCCCAACCTGGCTCGATCTGAACCCACCCCTATCCTCGTCAATTGGATCCCTCAACTTTGGAGCAAAAATTTTGACCATAAAGTCAACTAAACTTGAATTGGGAAGGTCTAATTGACAGGTTGGGATATATTCTGATCAGATTGGGTGGGAGATTTTTTCTCGAAAGGTTAGAGAGCAGAAATTAAATGCTATAAATTTTACGGATGAAGCACCCTTGCTCAATGGCAAGGGATCCGGGCTGTTTTTTTGGGTCATGCTACACTTACACCAAAAATTGTATACCGCAGTTATACACAAACATTTTAATGATTTACACTAACACAAGTGTTGGTACATTAACAAAAATTTACATGGACACAAAGTGTTGGTGCATTAACAAAAATTAGTTTTACACCAACACAAAATGTCGGTGCAAACCTGCGGTGTACAAAATGGGATACAAAATTTGGGGTACAAATAGCTCTATCCTTTTTTTTGTTTACTCGGTATCAATTTAACAATTTTGCCCCTTGCAAATGTTAGGCATTGGGGAAATGCTGAGTATGATTTATGATCCCGAGCTGGGTCGGCCCTGAGGCCCATAAAATATTCGAGACGGTGTCAATTTGGAGGTCATTTGCTCGGGCTGTTAAGTTTCTCAACTACAAGTTTTTTTAAAGGAGATTACAATTTACAAGAAATCTCATTATGTACATAAAGAACTACCTTCATCTCATATACTTCATGCGTCTCTAAATAGATTACACCTTTTTTCCTCTCTTCTCGATAACTTTTGTTTGTTTACGTGATTTCATTAAGTATTTGATAAAATATAATATTCTTGTCACCTCTTGTTTTGTAGAACTTTTAACGTAGTTTTTTAATATGTAATTTTTATATCTTATTGATATATCAATTTGCAAATAAAATGATTTCAAAAAGTAGGAAATTTTACTCTGTAACCCGCAATTTGCAATCAAATTGAGGACGGAGGGAGTAGATCGTTTTACCCCTTACTTTTTCAAACCCTACCTATCACATCATACCTTTTTCCTAATAATCTACACATCACATCCTACTTTTACCCATCACATCTAGGGTATTTTTGGAAAGTCAACACAAAATTATCCTTCCTTTAATTTCAACTTTAGTCAAAATGGGTAACACTTTATGGGGCGGAGGGAGTACATGATAAACTCTTCAGAATAAGATGTGATAATTATGACTATATTATTTCATGAAATAAGTACTCTCTCTGTTCTAAAAAAACACTATTTTTTTTATTTTTTCTACTTCCAAGAAAACACTTTCACTTTCCATTAAAAAATCACTTTCACCCTTATTTTTTCTTACCTTACTTATCACATCATACTTTTTCGCTAATAATCTATTAATCACATCTTACTTTTACCCATTACATCAAGGGCAAATTTGGAAGTTAACTATAATTTAGCACTTCCTTATTTTTATACATGGTCAACTAGGAACTTTTTTTGAGAACGAAAGAAGTAATAAAAATGAGCAAACACAATGAGTTACGTTTGACTATATAAATATTGTCTAGGAAGATCTATGAAGGTCGGAGAGAGTATGTAATTTAAGATACTCCGTATGTATTTATAAATATATACTTCTTCCGTCTATTAATTTCTTTCTCACTTTCTTTTTTGGACTTTCCGGAAATTTCTTTCGGTTTCCTATTTTAGCAACAAAATTTTAATGAATATGTCGTTTTACCTCCACTTTTTTTTATCTACATTATTCACTTTATTTAATTACCTCAAGAGCAAACATGAAAAGTCTTTACACTTTTTAACTTTTCTTAATCTCCGTGCCAAGTCAAACCGAGTGAGAAATTTTTGAACGAAAATAATACTCCCTCCGTTCTATAAAAGTGTTCGTATTTTGATTTTGTGTAAAAATAAGGAAGTGTTAAATTGTAGTTGACTTCCAATTTTGCCCTTGATGTGATGAGTAAAAGTAAGATGTGATGGATTGAGTATTAGAGAAAAAGTATGATGTGATAGGTAGGGTATGAAAAAGTAAGGGTAAAAGTGGTTTTTTAATAGAAAGTGGAAGTGTTTTGTTGGAAGTAAAAAAATGAAAGAGGAAGAATTTTTTAGAACGGGTGAAGTATATCTTAACATTTTATTATCCTTAATACGTAGTATATATGTTAATTATTGTTACTAAAAAACAAGGTATTTGTACTAAATAGCACTAAAACATCATTTTCCTAAATAACACTTAAAATGTTTTGTTCCCTAAATAGCACTTAATATGTTTTATTTTTTAAATACTCCCTCCGTCCCATTTTATAATGCATGTTTCAGTTTACGATGTTTGACTGAAATTATTTTCAAATCATTTTATATGACAAATGATACAAAATTAAAAAATAAAAATTACATATTAAAATACTATATCAAAAGATTTACATACAAAACTAATAGTGACAATAGTACTTTATTTTATTAAATTGCTAACGAAAATAGATAAAGAAAGTGATTGAAGTTTGACCCCGTGAATAGTAAACAAGCATTATAATTTGGGACGGATGGAGTAGCACGTAATAATGTTCACTGATGGCGAACATTTATTTGAATAATGACCAATAAATAATGACTAAAAGTGTTACATTGGAGAAAAATATATATGTGATGTTATTTTGGGAAAGTCATTACATTTAATTTTAGTGAGTAAATTTTTACAAAAAAAACAATGGATAGGCTTCATTTTATTTTGACACAAAGACTATTTTATGTATGTCGTCCCAGACCCCTGAATTCTTGGGGGGGGGGGGGGGGGGGGNTCGATCTTTCCACGACAGACGCGACGTAGTGCTAAACTCCACAGGAATCCACAAATAATATTGGATTCAATGTGTTAATTAATTATAGTACGCATGCTAATTAATTAATTGTATATGAATGTCTGGTATCTGCATGGTATGAAGTTGTTGAAACATTATATATATTGGACATAATCATTACAAAAAATCAGGCCATTCCCATTATCCCATATGGGGAGGGGGCAAATGTACGTAAATTGAATTATATTGCATGATTCCACTGTTGCCTCATCCCATATATCCATAATATACTTTTTTTGTTCCAAAATAAATTTTAACTATTGTTTTTATTGTATGGTATTTTAAGATTTTTGTTGTTAAAACGGAATAGAATAATTTAGTAATCGAAAACGATTAGAAACGCAAAGAGATACAGATTTAACATGGTTTGCCAACGTTGTGTTAGATACGTCCAGAGGCAAGAACGAAGATTGGATTGTAATACGACGCCGGTTCGGGATTACAGAGATTTGTGCCATATTTCTATATAAGAGCATTCACAATGGCAAGACAATGTCTTACCTTGCCATGTCAAGCCATCAAATTCCACTCAAATCATGACATTCCACCTCACTTTTCATTTCATGTGCCAGACATGACTTTCTCATTTTTTATTTTTTTAATATTTGTAATTTTTGGAATAAATATTTTTTTAAAAGAAGTAAACATATTTTAATAATAAAATAGATTTTTAAAATAATTTTTTATAATTAAAAATCATTAAAAAGTGAAAAAATAGACAAAAACAACGACTTGCCACTGAATGTTACGACACTCTACTCATTTGCCACACGGTGACTGGATTACTTTTTATTGGTTGAAATAATACATGTCACCGTGTGACATTTCATTTTTGTCTTGCCATTGTCAATGCTCTAAATAGCCACACAAGAAATTCTTGGCCTAATATAACAATTAGGACCTAATACTACAACATAGCATACCGTCGGCAAACAATACAAATTCAGCACACAAGACGGGCTTGACCCAATATAACAATTAATCACATACGGCCTTACAAAATATAAGAAACATTTTAAATAGCACTTAAACATAATGATTTTTCCTAAATAGCATTATATGTGTTTTTCCCCAATGTAACACTTTTACTCATTATCCATTAGTCATTATTCAAGTAAATGTTCGCCATCACGAGACATTATTCCTCTTTCTGAATATTATTAAGTGTTATCTAAAGAATAAAATACTCCCTCCGTCCCAAATTATTTGTCACATTTCTATTACCGAGATAAAATATCAAGTTTTTTCAATTCATTTTATTTACATATTGCTAAAGAAATAAAAAAATAAAAATTACATATCAAAAAACTACATAAAAAGTTTTTCGAAATAAGAGGTGTCAAGAATATTTATTTTATCAAATAACCAATGAAAACGTAGAAATAAACAAAAGTTTTCACGACTGTTGAAAAAGCATTTGTGACAAATAATTTGGGACGGAGGGAGTAGTTTAAGTGTCATTAAGGGAAATCACGTAAATTTTAGTGCTATTTAGTACTCTCTCCGTCCCAAAAAGTCTTTCCTGTTTCATTTTTTGCGCATCCCATAAAACACTTCTACCGACATTTAAAATGCCTAAATTTACAACATTTCTTCTTTATTGTGGTAGAAGTTATTTTGAAAGTTTTTTGGCATTCAAGGCGGGATATAAGTGTTTTATGGGATGCGCAAAAAATGAAACAGGAAAGACTTTTTGGGACGGAGGGAGTATAACACCAAGGTTCAAATGGCATTGAACCTTGATGTCATGGGATAACCCGGGGGCGCTCCGGTGCCCCGTTCGTAAAATTGACAATTCCTACCCCCTAACCCCCCCGACAAACCCCCCACCCGGTCCCGACCCGAACACAACCCCCCACCCCCTTCAATTGCACCCCACAAGTTGATTTTGACTTTGGAGTCAAAATTTGACTCCAAAGTCAAAATCAACTTGTGGGGTGCAATTGAAGGGGGTGGGAGGTTGTGTTCGGGTCGGGGCCGGGTGGGGTGGGGGGATTTACCGGGGGGTTAGGGGGGTAGGAATCGTTAATTTTACGAATGGGGCACCGGAGCGCCCCCGGATCATCTCAAGACATCAAGGTTCAATGTCATTTGAACCTTGCCCTTAGTATAAATATTGCTTTCATATTTTATTAAGTATAGAAATATGACGATTTTTTCGGGAGTAGTGAGTAGGTAAATAATAACATTAGGAGAACATTATATTTTAGTGGAACATGAAATAAGAGCACAAATATTTAATGATATTAGGGGGACAGTACATTTTATTTCATATTTTATTTTTTTCCAACTTGACCATCACATTGCTTATCTCTTTATGCATTAGGAAATGCACACGTTCGTACATTTCCTCATTGTCCCTCTCACTTGGAATTGCGTTGGGTATATATGCTCTAATAAATTAAACGGTAATACGAACAAATACAGCAATAAATAATACTCTCGAATTATATTTATTATGGAGTATGTTCCATTCTTCTTTTTGCATAATTTTTATAAAAAAACATCATAATGGGAATTTCACACTACAATATAATACCACTCCTTTCATGACGCCATGCAACAATTCCCTTTTCTTTTTCCTAATCTTGAGAGATCAAAAGCTAAGTTCTACATACCCAAAAAAAAAGAAATAAAGAGAAAATGAAAACCGAAAATGCGAAATAAAATAATTAACGATCTCTCGTTGATATAAAATGTTCTTGATCGATGGATATTAAACGTTCTCCGCAGGTTGAAGCAATGGCTGACCCAGAGAAGACTTGACTATTTTCTCGCGATTTTCCGCCGCCACCGGAGACGGCCTCAGTGCCGCCGCAGTCTTGGCAAACTTTGCCTCTTCGTTTTTGCCCCACAATACAAAGTAGAGCCCTATTATGATCATCACTGCTCCAATAATCCTGCATGATCGAGTTAATATTATTATGAATTGTTAAATAATGTCCAACAGGAAAAACGAATTGAAACGTGCATGCACGCATGCATAATAATTAGGTTAGGTAGAGTGGCAAATTGAACAATATAAATACATATGTTAGGGACAAATGAATAACACCACGCGTAGACGACAGAACTAATGAGTTTCCTCAAAAACTACTAAATGATTTTTGTTTTCACGTGCATGGCTCCACACATATATATGAACAGCTCATGGGTGCATCATCATCATCATGCTGTGCGTGTGGCTACGTTTTTTTTTGCCTCACTTTTTTTTATAGATATGTGTGCAAATTAATAATGAGGAAATAAATAAAAAATAAATAAAGAAATATTTACACTAAATAGTACTAAAACCTAAACTATTTCCCTAAATAAAACTCAAATTGTTTTATTTCTTAAATAACACTTAATAATGTCTAGTGATGTTAAATATTTGCCTGAATAATGATTAATACATAATGACTAAAAGTGCTACATTGAGAAGAAAAACAAATGTGGTGCTATTTAGAGAAAGTCATTATGTTTTGGTGCTATTTAAGTAAATTCCTCATAAATAAATCTCCTAAAATTGAGTAACCACGAAAAAAAGTATGAGCGATATGATATTTTAAGACGTTTAGTGAGATGGTTTGGTTATACCCCGGAGTAGTAAATAAAGAAAATGATACTTTAATTTTAAGGCGTTTAATTTGAAAAGTGGAGTTTTAGCTTGGGAACAAATTAAAGAAAATATATATAGATAAATAAGAAAAGGACAAGTATACCCTCCCAAGTAGAACTCCTCTCCTAGCGCAACGGAAGCAACAATGGCGACAACCAGGGTCTGAACTGGCTGATAAACGGCCACGAAGACGGGGCCACCCTTGTCAATGCACCATATTTGTACAGCGAATGCTATCCCAGATGCCACCATTCCCTACATATATATAATATCCATGCATTAATTATTATATGCATTCATTACTCTTGTTTCATTTAATTATTACTTAACCACATATATTAATCACACATTATTAGTTTGCTAAAGACCCCATTTTGACCTTTTGTAAATTAAAATATGATGTGATGAAAATATTAATAATGAATAAATGTGATAGCGTACCGCGTAGAAGACGCTGAAGAGCTCAGCTCCGGTGTTGACATGCCATCTCTGAGCATCTCTCTCCCAGACGGCGGCAATGGCGAGGAACTGAAGGACCCCAAAGAAGCACTGGTAGGAGGTGACGGAGAGGCGGGCGGGGTACCTCTTCAGGACCGGGGCCTGCAGGACCAGCCAACTAGCCCACGACAGGCAATGCCCGATCAAGAAGATGCACCCCAATGTCCAGCTCTTCCCGTTCGCTCCGTCCGCGGCGGCTAGCCCCGCCGGGGCGGCCTGCAGCGCCGCCGGAGACATGGAGGTCGTCGGGCTGTAGATGGTGGGGCCCTTGTACAGGGTGATGACTGTGGCCCCGCACACGCACAGTACCGTTCCCGCCACTTTTGATATCCCGTCCTTTCTGTCGAGCCTGACCGTTTCAATCCTGCATTATGCATGCATGCATTTTTTTTTATGAAAACAAAAGTAAAGTTAATAAGGTATAGTAACAAATGCAGGCAATAACATTAATTAAATAGTGATTGAAAACTCTTCAAATAAAAATTGATTGAAAAATAATAATGGTAAAGATTGGGCTTGCCTGAGTAGGGTGGCCAAGAGGAAAGTAATGGCAGGAACAGAATTTTGAATGGCGGAAGCAAAAGTAGGGGAAGTGTGTTCCAAGCCCAACAAGTAGAATCCTTGGTTTGCTGTTATTCTACATGCCCCAAAAGCAACAAAAAAACATCATTACTTTGAAATATTATGCAAAACTTTAACTTTTGGGTTCAAAGTTTTTGAACTTTTGTTGATCTCTAAAAAAATATTTTGAATTTTCATATGAATTTAGTATCAATGGATTTACTTTGAAGGGAATTCATTTAAATATCACTAAAACATAATGACTAATCTTAAATAGCATTTTTAGTCATTATTCAAATAAATGTTTGTCATTACTGAATATTATTAAGTGTTATTTAAAAGATAAAAATAATTTAAGTACGATTTAGAAAAATACTTTAAATTTTAGTCTATTTAATGCAAATATTTTGAGTATAATTTTGAGTATGACACTGCAAGAAAAAGTTGAATGAAAAGTTAATTTTGAGTATTTATTCATTTATGTTAGTTGTCTAAAATAATAATGTGTGCATACCCAACAACTGCCAGCAGAAAGAACTGAACAGCGAAACTCCAGGTAAGGCGGGGCCGATTTTTCCTGATCATTAAAAAAATAAATTTAAAAAAAAAACCCCAAGAAAGAATAACAATTGTTAAATGTAAATATTAAGTTTTTCCTGACTTTTCGAGGAAGAAGGCGAAGGGGAGGAGGAGGAGGAAGGCGAGGACGTTGCGATAGATGGCGAAAACAATCTTGCTCATCCCCATGTTCAGCGCTGCCCGGGACACCACATGGAATCCGGCGTACCCAAACTGCAGCGCCAGCATCGCCACGTGCAGTTGGGCCTTCTCCGGTATGCCCCCGCCGCCGCACATCGCCCTCCTCGCCGCCGTGCCTGAACCACTTGCATCGTCACCCATAGTATTATATATATATATATATATATACTTGTATGTGTGTTTAGTACGTGCTTAATTAGAAATGGAAGAAATAATAATAATAATAGTGAGCTAAGAGAGTTTAATTTGATTTGGTGTGTGAGAGCTGGAGGGGGGAGGAGGTATATATATATATATATATATATAGACATACAGCAGTTGGAGAATGTTGTGGGGATCGGATATAGTCTTTTGCCACCTACGTTTTTGTAGGGTCCTCTCTCTTCCCATGCCACCCTAAAGCCTATTTGACCATTCATAATGGTTCCCTATTTGACCATTTAAAGGGCATGCATGTTCCGATGCATCAACGCCAATTCAATACCATTCTCTTTAGCCAAAAATATGTGTAATAATGCTTTATGCCCCTTAATTCCCCTTCAATCATACTCTATCCTATAAGATCTTTCATTTTTAAAAAAAGTTACACCCTTAAAATGAGTTATTTTTTGTGTTATTTTCTAACTTTCTTTATACTTCATTCGTCCCAAAAAGTTATTTTCATATTGATTTTTTGAGCATTTAAGGGAAGAATATTTTTGTGTTGACTATCCAAAAATACCTTTGATGTGATGAGTAAAAATAAAATGTGATGGTTAAATTATGAGTAAAAAAGTATGATGTGATAGGTAGGGTAAAAATTAGTAGGGGTAAAACTAATTTTTTAACATAAAAGGGAAGACGGCTGTGGTACAAAAAAAGATAAGGAGTTTAAGGGACGAAGGGAGTAATAGAGTAGTATGTGATATGTATGTAGGATAGATGAGTCACAATTAGAAAATAACACCGAAACTACACATTTAAAGGTGCACATTTTTTCAAACGGGAAGAGTTTTATAGGACAGAGGGAGCATTACTTAAATATATTTTTCCTGAGAAATAGATATATATACTCTCTCCGTCCAACAATAATATTCTTATTCATTATTTACATGGTCAAACTTCATTCATTTAATGACGTATTTTCGTTGTCCATTTGATAAAATAGTATAGTCCTCTTACATCTAGTTTTGTAGATCTTTTTATATAATTTTTAAATATATTTTCTAGTTAGTTATTAACTACATGAAAAGATTTACAAAAATAGAAGTGACATGACTATAATATTTTATCAAATATGCAACAAAAATATGCCAACAATTTTAATACAGTTTGATCCTGTGAATAGTGAACGGAAACATTATTTTTGAAGGGAGGGAGTAAATCAATTCAACCAATAAAATCAGTACAATTCATGAATGCTAGAGGTATACCAAAAAGTGTATCCAAGTTGTATCCAAAAGAAATGCATCTGCATTTTAACAGTTCACACTAACACAAAATGTTAGTTCACTTAAAAAAATTTGCACTGATATTTATTGTCAATGTGAAACATCGCACTAGCACAAAATGCGGGTATATACCTTTGTTATACAAAATAGGATACAAGTTTTGGTGAAGAGATAGCTTAATCCAAATCAGTATTATTGAATACCGTTATTAAAGGGCGTGGCCAGGACACGTCACAAATTGGATGGACGGACATGATTAATGACATAATATAGCACACGAATGAGGCCGGAGTGCAGTCGCCGTCGCCGGAGAGTGGTTGTGGGTACACCGTACGTACACCATGCATGCACTGGGCCCCGCCTTTCCTACGTACAATTATACAGTTTATACTCCATACGTATTCCAGCCCCTGCCAACGACCATAATTATTTCGCTTTAATTAATTAATGAATTAACTAACTAATAACGAACAATATATTGCTTTTACGGAGTATTTCTTAATTAATCAATTTTTCTTCCGGTCAGATTCCTTTCAATCATAAATTTGAGATCAAAATTTGAAAAATGAGAAAATTGAAAAATAATTGCTGAAAGCTAAAATATACTTACTCCGTCCCAAAATGTTTGTCACATTTGTTTTTTCAGCAGTCATTAAAACTTTTATTTATTTGTATGTTTTCATTAGTTATTTGATAAAATAAAATATTCTTGACACCTCTTATTTCGAAGAATTTTTCATATTTTAAATATGTAAATTTTATTTTTTATTTCAATACTAATATTTAAATAAAATAAATTAAAAAAACTAGCTATTTTGTCTCGTTTTAAGAAATGTGGTAAACATCGAGGGGCAGAGGAAGTACGTATGTGGTTAAGTTTATTTTAAAGTTAAACTATAAATGTATGTTGAGTTAATGAGTTTAACCCTTCCATTCCCACCTCAGTTTTGCAACCTAATATTACCTTGTTCATAATAGCTTGCATTGGACGTAACAATCCTTCTTAACTTTTCTACTCCCTCCGTTCCACAAAACTCTTCCTTTTTCATTTTTTTGCTTTCCACAAAACACTTCCACTTTCTATTAAAAAACTACTTTTATCCATACTTTTTCATACCCTACCTATCACATCATACTTTTTCACTAATAACCAAACGATCACATCTTACTTTTTTTCATTACATCAGGGGCAAAATTGGAAAGTCAACCAAAATTACACTTTTCTTATTTTTTCCCAAAGTCAAAACCGGAAGAGTTTTGTGGAACGGAGGGAGTAATTGAATGAGTCTAATTCTATTATTTCACAATGTAGTATTTCATCTGATCTGTCATAAAAAAGTCACTTGTTGTTACATGCAACTTAAGTTGGGACAGAGAGAGTAAAAGAAACATATCCCTTTTTGCAAGAAATATATCAAATGGCCAATTTCAAAGATAAATTAGAATAATACAAAGTATAATATAGCCAAAGATCTTGTGGTCCAATTTCACCAAAGTGACTCATTCAAATGGGAGGTGATAACAGGTTCAATCCCCCGGTATTAGAAAAGTATGTATGAAAAGATAACATAATTGTAATAGAATTATTAATTAGTACAAAAAATATGGAGTATAATATTTTCAAAACTTTATCGTCCTATTTGTTGGTTTTCAAAATTTTATCGTCATATTTGTTTACACACCCCATAAAATATTTTTACCCCATTTAGAACAATCCTCATTAAGTAGTTTATTATGGATAAAAATTATCTATAAGTACTTTACACACTTTAGGTGAGATATATTGTGGCAGAGTTTTGTGGTGTGGTCATAAATAGTTAAATACCGTATTTAACTACCTTATATGGTCATAAGGACTCAAAACCAGATAAATACGGTTTTACAGAGTTATGTCAATTTTTTTTTAAAAAAAGAAAATATAGAAACACAAAAATGAGTTGTAGATAAGGAGATGGTGGAGAGGGTATGAACCGGTACCGGCCGGGAGACCACCTGACCAGCAACCAACGGACCAATACAAGTGTGAAGTGAGGAAAAGACATTTATTGCTCCCTCCAAACTCTATACTCCAAACCCTTTTATTTCCCATTCACATTTTGCCTTCAAAAAAACATTTTATTTTATAATTTTTTTTTAGGATTACTTATAGATGTATAAATTTTATTTTTATATACGAGGCAATACACCTTTAAATAAATTAAATTAAAAATGAATTTGGTTAACTAATTTTATTTTTTCCAAAACAGAAT